TCAGTGCTGAACCTAGGGATTGCAGTACATGAACTAGACCAGTTAATTGCTCAGGCTGTTGCTCAAGTTACAATGTGGAATCTCATCCGTTAAGCCCCTGCATGGGCTAAGAGCTGTGCGTCTCAGAACTGAGCAAAGCTCCAACCAGCACATAGAAAGGGAAGGTCACAGTAGGGAAGGCAGGTCTTGTCTAAGTGATGTGCACCTCTAGTGAGTTCTTCCACCTTCCCCATTGGTAGAGTGTAAACAGATCACAAATGCTCCCTACGAAGTTCCTAATCAAAAACGTCCATTGACCTGATTGATGGCTGGTGTGCAGTACTAGAAGTGGAAGTATTTTGGCTAGATGGTTTCTCTTTTGCACTGTCCAGTGTGGCTCTATCCAAGCCCAAAACTCACTGTCTTGAATCATGAGCAAAGACAGAGCGTTAGGGGAAGCTTTTGCCCAAGCTAAACACCTGCATTTTCTATTCAATAACTAAAGATTTCCTCCAGTGCTGTTACCAAACTTGGAAATCCACTTTTAATGCAGCCTTCTAAACTGTTGCTTCTAGAAACATTTGCATCCATTGACTTCATCACTCAAGATGGGGTTTCCCTCCACACCCCAAGCCAGCACAAGTCTCTGTGAATCATGGAAACGCTTCTAAAGCTTGAGCTCAAGTGGGACTTGGGGGATGCCTATGTTATGGGCTGCTCCTTTGTAGCAGGATGAATTTCAGCCAAGAGTATTTGCACAAAACTAATACCCTGCAGGCAAGGCCGTGAAGGAACAGAAACCACTTCAAAATCGGAAGATTATCTGCAGCACTTTTTTTCCATGCAGTATTTTCCCAAACCCAGCTCAAACCCTAGAGGGATGAGAGACTTCGCAGCCTTTCTGTGCTATGTTGCTAAGTCTGTTACTAGGCAAAACATGTTTAAGCAGCCTAGAAAACGTTTTCAAAACACAAGAGAAGATTTTACTGTTTGTAAACTGGATCTGAGCTTCTTTTCTTTGATAATAATGAACCTCTTAATACTCCTCAGTTCTCCTAGTTACTGAGAAAGCAAATCCAAATCAGACTGGCTTGGCTCTATTTGGGTCCAGGGGAAATGTTGTACAGCTTTGTGAATGAATTAACTCCTCTTCATGCCCATGAACACAGAGTTAAGCCCAGGTGGTCTTTTGTAGGTGGGAGGAAGGAGGAAATGTGTAGCATGGGTGAAGTTGATTCATGCTAAACTATACAATATTCTTGTCTATCCCATTTTTATGGCAGGGAAGTGTTTTCAATTATGTCTAGCATCAGCAGACCCACTATACACTGAACCAATGTTATGGACCTCTGTGTAGAAGGTGGTCCCCTCTTTTCTGGCTGAGATGATGGGAAGGAACGTCAGTTTAGTTTTAGAAAGCTTTTCTACCCGTGCCAAGTACAGTGCTCATCTCTTGGGCTTATCACACAGAGCATGGCAACCAAAAAAGCATGATGCCTCTAATTTAAGTGCTCTGTTTTATGGACAGTGATTTACCCCGTTTGAGTAATGACAGGGGTCAGAGAATTATCTTCATTTTTCTAGGCCTGGATCTCTTCGGAAACAGCACCTCAGGGCTGTGGCTTGAATTCAGAATTGCATGCAGAAACTCAAGTAACATTTGATGTTGTATGTATTTATCTATTCATGCACATATGTGCACCCAGAATTGAAACAAAACAAAGTAGGATTTTTTTCTCATCCTAGAATTTCATCTGTCTGTTTTGGGGCTTGTTTTGGAGCAGTTTCAATCCTGACATGAAGCTTTAAAACCTGTGAATCACTGAACTTGCTGATTCTGGAGCCACATTGATTTCTGCACCGTGCAGGCTACAGGTTTTCTACTGCTTAACGCTGTACCTGTTCCAATAACTTAATTTTGGTCAAAGGCCTTCTTCCATCCTGAAACAAACTGCAGCCCATCACTAAATTTCCCTGTGTTTAGCATTTTACAGCGATACATGTTACACATACATTCTTTTAATTGCTTGTACATGCATAAGAGTTTTAAGTGATTTCAGTTGAAACCCTGTGGTATCAACGGCCTGTAAACCACATTGTGCTCCCCTTTCTATTTAATAGGAATACTATCAACACCTATATAGGGATTATCACACAATAACGAGAGGTGCTGGCAGTCAGATTAGATTTGTGTCTGCAACCACTGACAGTAGATCCATTATTCTATGGTTCTGTGATTATGTGATGATGTACAACATTTTGGGAATAGTAGTTGTGTGAAATCTCTTTCTAGATGAAGCCTGTTCTTGTGTTAAGGGGGATCTGGTTAGACTTTTGTGTGACCCCAGGTGAAATAAAAGGCTGGTCTTGGTGCCTGAATTGCAAAATGGCAATCGTAACATCACCTTTGCCTTCCTTCCTTGGTTAAATCAGAAACTGCCTGGGATAGGGACAGCCGCCTCCTGTGCGACTAGACAGTACGTAATGTAATGGGATAATTACAAAATAAAGAGGTAATGATTGTGTGCTGATGAAGAAAGAGAACAGCTCTTCACTGTAACAGTCCAAAGCGATGACATAATACAGTGGTTTGAGCCATTGCTATCCACAGGTAAGTGCACCCAAAGGTGATTTATACCACCCTGCATCACCATGTAGAGTAGCCCAGCCGAATTGAAGCTGTTTCTGGGAAGGAGGAAAATATTCTGACAGACAGGTGTGGACCTCTGAGTTCTTATTGCTGTCATAAACTGTAACAAGGGAGAATCAAATAATGATGATTTCAGCTTTGAAGAGACAAAAGCTGACCTGCCCATTGGTAGGGGTGTGAGGTATGTGAAGTTATTGAGCTGAATTAGAAGCTGAAAGTTAAGCAATGCGAGTACTCCCCAGGATCTCAGTACCGTCTCAATACTGCATCTAAACCCAGCATTATTGTCACCTCCAGGTAGCTCCTGTGTCTCTTACCCTGCCTTCAACTGTCCTCTCTGTCCCCTGCCCTGGTCAATCCCCCCAGCTCAAACAGGAAGCCAGGAGGCCACCGATGCCAGCAGCAGTGGCATTTTGTGACACGGCTGACAGACCAGTCTGACAACGTGGAGCTTTGTTTTGCATAAGCCATCCAAACAGATGGTCACCACTTCGAAGTATCAGCCTGGTTTGTATCTGTATGGAGCATCTACAAGCACAGATCTGAAATCCCCTGTTCTGTCGAATTCTCTGCCTGCTGTTGTAGCTGTGGCTTTGATTTAGAAAACAGGGGTGGGAGAGTTTTGGGACAAGACTCAAAAGGGCTTTACTCTAAGGCTACTTCTCAGTACCAGTTTGGGGAGACACAGTGTTTTTACCTCCTTGGCAACCCGCTATTCTTACTCACTCACACTTGCAGAGTAATATGCTGTGAGTTAAAAAGCAGTGACCTTTAGGGAACGTCCTTTTGCCATGCAGCCCTCTCTCGTGCTTCCAAACCCGTGTGCCATTCTGTAGTGTACCCTCATTGGTGGTTTGTTGGGGTTTATTTCTGTCTTGCTTCTTATCTGATTTTCAGTGATGAATTGTGTGTAGTATTTCCAGTGGGCTGGAATAGCGGTGCTAATTGCTACTTCACATCAGGAGCGTGGTCCCCCTCCCCTGATAACAGCTGAGTTATCAAACAGGGTTCTATTGCAGTACCTTGCGTTTAATATCAAGACAGTTTTACCCGTCTGGCAGGTTATATTTGCAATAGCTACTCTTTGCAGTTGGGGATGTTTTATGCCTTTCCCTGGCTTGCTGTCTGTGTTTAACCCTTCCTATCCTGCATGATGAAGCTTTGGGTCCATTTTTGTTCAATGTTAGCATTTTCTTGGGCAAGAATATGAACCACAGACACAGTTCCTCAGCTAACGTTTAGGTTAAGAGCAGGGCTGACTGTCAGCCTTGATGGCACTGTTGTACAGGTAAATAACCAGTTTCATTCATAGTATCAAGCTGGTTTTCCCTCTGCCTACACTAAAAGATGCACATCTGTTTTTCCAGGCGAGCAGAGCATGAAGTCACCCATCTCCTGCTTATCTCCCCTTGCATTCATTGTATATAAATGCTGTATGTTGATTTCAGGAGATAACTGTATAGATCACTGAGAGGCATAAGGAACATAAGTAGGACAATGGAAAACGTATGTTGGATTTTCTGTATGTGCTAGTGGACCCACACCAATCTCATGAATCCCCAAATGACATATGTCCTTAAAACTGCATGTGTGCATCTCTATGAGAAACCTGCACAAAGACACTGAAAAAACACTGAGTTCTGACTGGTATCAACAGCAAGGAAAACTTAAACAGATCAAGGAATCATCCAAATCCCCGCGGGTTTCATTTGCATCCTTAAAGCGCACAGTCCCAGTTTGGGAGTCACTATGTTTAAAACTGGAGAGCCATTAAGTTAGCGTTAGGTTGCTGCCTAATTAATTTAAAGCACTAGCACACGCAGGGAGATTACACCAGGGCACTGCTAAATTGGGCAAGAAAAACCCACCACTTTGGACAAAAGACATTTCCTTCTATTGCTCTGTTCCTTTTTGGTTGACTCACAGGCGGATTGAAGGAAACCTCCCTGGTGACCGAGTTAGCCAAAGCAACTGCGCCTTTAGGACCCCCTGTTTTCAAAGCCTTTTGGAAGGGAGGGCTTTGATTTCAAACATTCGCCTCCCAACTTTCCAGCGCTGAGGGGACTGGACCCGCTGCTCCCTGGGACGGCACCTGCCACCCCCCGTCGCCCGGTACCCCGGTTGCGGGACCACGCTCCTACCCGGGGCTGCGGCTGGAGATGCCTCCGGAGCATCCCTCTGCCCGCAGAGCATCCCCGCACCGCTCCGTGCGCGCATCCCCGAGCCCCCGGAGCTCCCTCCCGCAGGCTCCGGCTGTGGAAGCAGAAGCAGAACGGCACCCGCGGCTTGCCGTAAAAAACGAAAACGGGGCGGTTGAGTGGCGGTGGGGAGGAGAAAGAAACCGCGGGCAAGGGGCCGTGCGGCGACTTACGCCCGGGCTTTGGGGAAGCCCATTGACAGCAGGATCTCCAGCGACGAGCCATGTTTGATGGTCCCCGCGCGGTGCTGCCGGTTCCGCCGGGGGATGACTTTGCTGTACAGCTCCTCTTTGGCAGCCATGGCGTGCGGTGCGGGCTGCCCGCGCTGGGCCATCATCACGCAGCCATCGCCGCCCGCGCAGGGCCATGCACACCCGCAGCGCCCAGCGCCCCGCCGGGGGCCGGGGCAGGGCCCTCCTCCTCCTCCTCTTCCTCCTCCTCCTTTCTCTTTTCCCCCTCCTCCTCCGCGCCCACCCGCCGCCACACGTGCGCGCCCCACGCCGCCACCGGGGACTTTGCAGCGGAGCGGAGAGAAGCCGCTCGTTCCCCCCCCGCCGCTCCCCACCGCGGTCTTAAAGCCGCCTCCGGGTATGGGGTGTAGCCCTGGCCGCAGCCAGACCCACGGGGCTCCGGTGGGGGGGGGGGGGGGGGAGTTCGGGGGACCCGGAGCTATGGGGCTGACCTATGGGGGATGCTATGAGCAGGATCACTGCTGGAGCAGATAGGAGGTGAAGGCTTGGTTTATAAAGCAAAAGCGCTTGCACAGACGATCACTGTTTCTATTTTTCTGGGTTTTAATCATTTTTGTTTCTTCTTATTTCGTGCAATATTGACCTAACTGCATAGGAGAGAGCAGGGTGCTCTAGGACTTCAGGGGCTCCGTGCGCCCCTCGCCGCCGCTCTGATGTGTTAGCACTAGTGGTTAAACTAGGTGTAGTTAGGCGAAAGAGTTGTGCTTCAGTATTTCTGCCTCAGTCTTAGGTTTCTGCATCCTTCCTGTCCCTCTCCAGGCTGTCACTTGGGATATACGGCCTCAGAGCCTGTCGCTTTCAGGGACTGCCCTTCCCAGTGTAAGGTCCGCTGTGGCAGAGCTCGTCTCCCATGCAAAAGCTGCCTGTTCCTATGGCCTGAGTGGGAAACTGCAGCTTTCATCCTAGTTGTTATTTCAGCCTTCAGTTTGGTGTGTTTGGGCTGTAAAGCAAGGGGTTCATCTGGCATCCTTCCCTCCTCTCCCTGCTTTCCCCTTCGCAGTTGAAGTCAAGCAGATACCACTGCCAATCTTCTCAGTGCAGGCCCAGCTCACAGAGCATCATGAAATGACAAAGGTGCAAAGAAATAGGAACCATTAAGAGGCATTTTTTAACCGTACAATAGTTAATGGAAGGAAAGCAATGTTGGCAATGACATATCTATTACTACAGATATTATTTTTACCATTAGGGGAAACAAACAGCCCATTTCCAGTTTGTCATATCAACGAAGCCAGAGAAAGGAAAAACTCCTCTCTGCAGGGACAAGGGGCCAGCAAGTCATCCTCGCACTGCCTGGCCTAAGGAGCACCATGAAAACTAAAGCTCCAGAAGGATGGCACACAAAGCACTGGTTGTTCATGGCTTCAAGTCACTTTTAACTCCTTTGATGTTGCTGAGGCACTGGTTCTTTCGTTTAGCCCCTCTATTAATTGGCAAGAACTTCATTAAAGTCAGTGGGTGAAACCAAGAAGCGTTTAGTCATGGATTTCAGCTGTGTTAGACATTCTGCAACTGTGAAATCAGGATCAGGCACCCAATCTATTCCATTTTAACGGAGGAGGAGAGTTAAGGCTTATTAATAACAATATTTGCACTGAAACATATTGCCAGAGCCTCCAGAAGTGTTTGTCACAGACAAACTCATCCCCAGCCGTGCTTGTAGCAGCATAAGGATACAGCTAGTTCTGGCCCTGGGAAAGGGGAAGGTGAAAATCCCACATTAACACTCCCACCTCGCAGAGAGGCAATGCAGGTGATTCCCAGAGGAATCTGATCAATGTGCAGGGATTTGGGGCCAGCAGAAATCTGTGTGGATTATTGTGGTCTGACTTCACTCGGTATGTTTTGCTCATGCATGTGGAGGGGGGGGTGGTGTTTGTGCTCCAGCTGTATTACTCAATCAGGAAATAACAATAAGAATGCAATTAGCTATGGAAGTAGCTTCCAGGGGCTTTGCCCAGATGAGAATCCCTTTCCTTTAGCCGTGACAGATTCAGAGCATCAATTACAAGAAAACCCACATTATAGAAACGATCATGTTGAAGTTTTGGTGGTTGGATGAATTACTGCAACTGACTGCACTGGAAGCATCAAAGATGTTGCAACAAGCGAGGAGGAACAGAAATAGGATGTTTACACATCTGCGTGTGTAACCCGTCGTCTGTCACTGAAACTGGCTGCATACTGGCTTGAGATGATTTTCCAAGCTACCTAAGAGACCGCCTCATGTTCGCATACCTTCACTGAGTGCCTCTGCATTTGTTCTTTCTTTACATTAAAACCCCTTCACTGGGAAGCAGCCCTCTTCTTTTTCCCCCCAACGGTTAAATATAGGCCTTGAAATAATGCTCCCTCCCACCCATTTCTTTTTGATTGAAAGCTGAAAATGAAGGCTTAGTGATGAAACAGGAGCAGGAAAGCAACAGGCTTGTCTGTGTTCCTGGGCTCTTCTGCTGTTTTCCTGAGTGAAACTCAAATATTATCCCTTTACCTATGGGAGAACGTGTTCTTAAGGGATTATTTATATCACTTCCTTCAATGTGACACAGAATTAACCGGGGATAGGGTTTAAAAATGCCACACTGGACAGCAAGTGGGAGCGTTGCTGTATACTTCAATAGGAAGAGGTCAGGCTCCTAAGGAATGTGAGCCACAGTTAGCTGTCTTCCCAGCTTGATGCTACCACCTCGCTTTTGCATGCAAAGGCTTTACTCTCTTAACAATGGAAGTGCTCTGAAATAAACAGTGCAACAGCAGGAAACGGAGCAGGGGTTTTGCTTTCCTCCTTCCTAACTTCCCTGCCTTTAAAAGGGAGTCAGATGCTTTCGGAAAATCCCTGTTCAAGGCTCTGCTTTTGAATTATTACCAATTGAATTGCGTGGTTGCCCCAGGGGGAGGGAGGGAGGGACAGGGACAGGATGTGGAGCTCCTCCTAGGCCAGCACCTCCTTTGTAGGAGCAGCAAGGGCAAGACTGTCCCTTCTCCCTTGGAACGAGAAGTCTGACATAAGGCTAACATTAAAGCTGAACAATGAAGGACACAGCAAGATCACTGTTTCTAAGACTTTGAGCCTGATCTTGTGATGATTTGCATGCTTAAGCCATTTGCCATACACAGACATGGCAACTTCAGGCCCATTGGCAGCTGGGGGCAAGCAGGGCTGCAGCCTCACCCCTTATCTTGCTCTGGCACATCCATCCTTTGGATTATTTTCCAAATAGTGCCTTTGGGGCATTAAAAATAAAACTGAGTCCACCCTCAGTGCTTTTTCCCCTCTTTTTTTTTTGTCTCACGAGTTTCCAAGTGTCAAGAAACAGTGATTTATCACAGAGAAAAATGAACAGCTGCCTCTCACTTGATTCAAAACAGCATGAAAATGGAGTCAAAGCTATTAGTGAGTTTTTACAAAGCTAAGACCAGAAACTTCAGCAAAGTTCAGCCCATTTCCCATATAGCTGGCGATTGCTCTGTGGGCAGTGTGTTGTGACTGATAACACCCATCTGAGCATATTCGGAACAAGCGTGAAGCCTTGGTGGAAGTGGAAGAACAACATTCCTGAGAGCAGCTTCATTTTAAAGCCTAAACCACCTTTGTCCAGATATTTTACCTGTTTGGGCTTCCACAATTGAGCTGGAATGAGCATTTGTTTGTGGTTCCCACCCGTAGGGGTAGTTTCCTTCCTTTGCTAAGCATCCATCTGCCTAGGTACTTACAGGGGCTCCTCTTCTCTCATCACTGCAATATTTGAGTCCCTCCAGAGTATTTGAAAATAGAAAGAGCAGCTGGTTTATAGGAGAACAGTATTCTGTACTTTGTCCAGAAGGCTGTGGAAGGACTTTCTGACCCTTTACCCTATCTACCTTATCTCAAATCTCCATCATGAGACCTGGGCTCTGGGAGGATGCATTAGGGTTGCAGAGGACTCCCAAAGGAGCAGGGATATTTTATCCATTTCCATCTTTTATTGCCTTGAGGCTGGATCTCCAAACTCTGCTGCAGACGTGGAGGTGTGGGGCTGGATTCAGCCCAGGGCTGGTCACAGCACTGTTGGCTTCATTAGAGAGCAGCTGGGGCTTGGCCTGGAGGATGCGAGCTGGCCACAGGCATAGGAGAATTTGCTTTTCTAGCTCAGATTTCCTTCTAATTTGGAGCGTATTTTCCTCATTGCAAACAAAATCCACTTTAATTTCATCATAATCCCTTCATTTGTACACAGAGCTGTGGGGCCAAGCAGGACTGTCAGGTGTGAGCTAAGAGGCAAAGCGTCCTTCAGATATTTCCCTTTGGAGAGCAGAGGGCAGCAGATGACATCTAGTGCAGCTTGCTTGTCAAGCCCAGTGTAAAAGAAGGATAAAATAACATATGTATTTTCAAATGGCTTGAGCTATTTTTGGTTAGAAGGCAACAAGGGATTCTGTGTGAGGAAGGAGTCCTGGCTGGATGTGCTAGGAAATGATTTACTGCACGCACTAACTCTTCTGCTCTGGAGTTCCTCTCAGTTTGGTGGCCCATAGAGGGTACTTGGGGTAAGTGACAGCACAATATGCCTGCTGGGAGGGATGGCAGCGTCACTTGGCAATCTTAGCAGAATGGCCTGTCATGGGTCACTAAAAGCCAAGCAAACCACAGATGTGGGAGTAGTGAGTAGCTGGGGCTTTGCAAAGACAGCCTTCACCCTCTCCTAACCTGTGCAGCAGTGAGTTCTTTCATATACACAGCAAATAGTTGCACGCATCTTCCTTTTAGCTTCTCCTTGCAGACTTGCTGCATCAGCGCAGCTGACCAGGGTGAATGCATGTACAACGTGCTGTGGAAGCTGCAGGGTCTGCTCGGTAACACAGGTGGTTTCAAAGGGAGCTAAAGCCAGCCGGTAAATTAGCATGTCGGTATGAAACCCACTTAGGCTGGGCTTGAGAAGCACGGTGAGCTGGTTGCTGCCGTGGTCTGCTCTTTGTAATCCTGGTCTCCGTTAGTGGGAGAACAGTTGAGCAAACAGAAGATTAATAGGCTCCCAACTTGGAGCCCATGTGCAAGAAACATCTTGAGCATTGGCTATCTTATCTATTGGATTCCATGGCTGTTTCTGCTACACTTGTATGAATCTAGTTTATTACTGCCATTATTTATTTGCTTGGGAAGGAGCCAAGAAATAACAAGATACAATAGAAAGCTGCTGGGATTTCCCCCGCTCCCACACACAGTAAAACACGCTGAGCTGCAGGA